GAACGGTCTGTTATTTTAGCGCTTCAAGTACACCCAAAGTAATAGGATTTTTTTGTACGCGTTCATCTAGGCGAAGATGAAAGTCGGCTAGTTGAATAAACTCTGTTAATTGCCGTATAATTGTTTAAATTCGTAATTCTGAATCGGCATTCGCAACGGCGACAGTCTAAAGCATGCACTTCGAACTACTTTTACGTGGAATTTCATTTCGCTCTTTTTGTGCGTCTTTAATTGCCGTTCGTCGGAAAGGAGAGAGATAAAAGACTGTGTCGAGAGAACAGGATCGAGAGAGCATTCCGTAGCTTCGTTGGATATTAAAAGAAGCGGATGTGGGGGTAAGTATTTTAAGAGGATCCCGAAGCGAGTGGATCGAGATAAAGGAAATTATTAAGAGCTCTCTATACGATAAAAAGACAACGTAGACGGAAGTTTCCGAGACTATAGTTTATAAGCGACGGATATCGCGTTACGGCGTGAAGTAATAAGTCGATGATCCGTGCGAAGGAGCGCGCTTTTCGATTTTTATACGTTTATGTTATTCGCACGCTCGATGATGTAATTTCTGTCGTAAATATACACAGAGTTTTGGCGCGAAACGCATATTGTAACATTATTTTTTTTTTTATAATGCAATATCAGCCAGTATTATTTTTAACATTAAAATAGATAAGAAAACTCAGGTGTATCTCCAGCCAGTTACTTTCTATTGGAGAAGCCGCTGGAGGCATAAGAACGGTATTTCTCACGAGACAATGGATCGAAAATGGCAGCCGCCGCGTGCTTTACCGTACTATTGTTTTGAAAATCGAACCTGACGTCACTGAAACGTTAATTTCCTTGAAACTAACACTATGTACGCTTACTGTAACAGCCCATCTAGTGTTTGCTGCTGAGATAGACCGCTATGTAAACTAGACGCACCATATAATGTGGTAACCTAACATGTACGTTAAGATACATATTTACGGAGTTTATTGTGACATCCTAATAGGGATATTACTGCATCGTTCCAGTGATAATTCAAATTGTATTGGTAATATAGATGTACACTACCAAGATGTACACTATGATTTTACGACTTTCAAAGAGCAAACGGCCCTTTTAATTACGACAACGATTGCAACAAGCCAAGGATGGTCAACTTTCACGCCGAATATGTGGCTACATTTGGACCGTGAAGCGCTGACGAAACATGCAAAATAACCAACAATCTCTAGAATTAGTTACGCCGTTGCTTAGTCTACTTACGAAGACGTGCATTTCTTCACTCTTAAGATACGATTACCCATTGTTAACAGAAACATTTTATAACTCAAGATTCATATAAACTTTAACCAACAAAAATACAAATTTATTAACTAAGAGTATAATAAGACTTTGATAAATAGCTTAAAAAAAATTGTATGAAGAGTTTTCAATTATTAATTTATGATAAGACGACGTACTAATTAAAATTCACAAACAATTACAAGGATACAGAGTATGAATATTCTATTTACAATACAAGCTTCCGTAGTGTTGCTAGTCTGAAAAAATGAAGGTATCGATAACAAACATAGCGTTTAAAGTCAAATAGCAATGCCCTTATACTCGATGCTAATTTATAAAACGACCCGATCGGCTTTATCGATGTGTTTAAACAGCCAGTATCTTTTTTTGTTGTTACTATGTTTTTTTTTAATAAATACAGCTGCATGTGCATAGTTAGATTTAATTTTTATTTTTAAGATGTAAAAAGCAACAACAATCGTAAGGTAAACATAAAAAAGGACAGTTAATTATTACCGCCCGCCTTCGCTTTGTGAGCGTTGTTATCATGTTTTTGTGAGGCCGGCGTCCCAACCTCCGCCGTAATCATTGTGGGAAAGTGACTTGCCAAAACACATAATGCCTACAACCACCGGGATATCGCAATTAAAGGAGCTAATACAACAAAAGGTTCTTTTTAACGCTCACTTCCATAATGCGTTAGTGCTAGGTGTTTTATAGCGTTGAGTTTGGAAATAAACAAAAGCTGTGAGTAAAATGTTACGTCATAAACAATCTATTTTTGTAACTATTGTCGATGAAACGTCAATGTTTACCCTATAAAATTGTACTTGAATATCGGAATGCAAGTCGACTGCTGTAAGGCCATATACTTTGACATTTAGCTGCGTCTCTTTCTTACATTAGCGCGCGGGGCAGGTGTTTACATCTTTAAAAACGTTCAATTATGTGCGGTCGCATTTTTTCGCGTTAAAACATCGTAACGGTCCCGCATTGGAATTCTGAATGAGTGCGTACATTAGTAGGGTGCGTTCCCTCGGCGCGATGCATTTAATAACCCGCTGCGTCGCTCGTACAAACAAGCATAATTTGAACGTTCCGTACCATGTCTACTATCGACGTGCTTATAATCCGGTCTCACCTCCGCGACATCCGGACGGCTAACGGGCTTCAGATGCCGAACATTACAATATAAACTCGTGATTTACAAACACAAATTGTTTAAAAGTAAAATAAATGAATAAGCCGCCGACGCCAGCACACGAATACAAATGAGATTTTTCGAAGTGAGCCATCTCTTTCTTTAAAGACTGTATGATAAATCGTTTCTATGCGTCGTTAACCCCGCGCCGTTTTACTTCTAATTTTTCTTTCGATGTTGTCAGTTATATTAATATTCGTACGACCTATTATCGATGGGGTCAATCTCGATAGTAAAATCGATTTATTTAATACAGTTCTGGTCGAACTGTTCCAGGCTTATTAGCCGTTAGAAATCCGAGAACCGATCGTGGAATCGTATTTCAAAATGTTTGTAATAAAAATCATAATAAAAACGAATCGCAATACAAAATTACATTTAAAAAGATATAAGCAATTTAAAAATAGAACACTGCGAATACGAACATTCAATTTGAATTTCGAAAATGGAACGCCACGCGACTTTTTCAAGTAAATCTCCGTTCACCTGCCGGCCGAGTCACGAAGGTAACGTACCTATTCTCTTGTACCGATACATTACGAAGCACTTATTTGTCTAAACGATATGCTTCGCGAAACACGCGAGTAATGGCCTCATATATAGTAAAATATAGCAACAGATTTTATAAACTTGGATGAAACAAAAACCCCACATATGTTAGACATCAATAGAAATTGAACTGCCAAAGGGCATTAGCACATGGAATTTTAAAGCGTTCCAATCGAGTGAGATAAAGCCCATATGGCGTAAATTCGACATCGGACATTTGGAGCTTAACCTGTCACATCCGAAATTCGATAGACGGGGCTATTATTTCGCGTTGCTTTCGCTCGGCTGGTCGTATATCCCCGGGAATAGACAAACTGTATATGAATTTAAACAGGAAGTTTCAATTTAGCGCCAATTCATCTGTAATGATACTTGTCGGAAGGCGGACACGGGCGTCCATTTTGTTTGAAACGAAAAAAAAAGTTTTATATTTCATTCTGTCCCTATTCCCTACCTGGTGTACGCTATGCATCTCCAGATGGTCGGTTGTGCAAGCCGGCCGAGCCTTGTTTGCTCAAATATTACAAGTCGGTACGACATTTGAAGAGAGCCGCTAAACAAAATACAAACAGTTCCAGTAAAGGTGCGTCCACACACGAGCGGTGTGCTGGAGAATTCACAGGGATCCAATTAAGATGGACGCCATCCTTGGGAAGCGGAATAGGTAAATAAATAACGTAATTACAATATCGAATCACGAGCGCGCACGACCTCGCCGTAATTGTCGGCGAAGATGAGAATGCCATTGTATTGAAGGTTAACCTGTGTACACTTTTAATAAAACCATTGACTTTAAGAAGCATTAAAAATATATCATTAGCTAGTTTATCTATAATTTACGTTTAAACTTTTTGACCTGGATTCCTAAACTTCGTAATTAGATCGTTATTTTATAAATAGCAAAGGAGTTTTCGAAAACATAAAGGGATTTTTTAACACCATAAATGATAAAAAAAAGCGGAAACTTTTTTCACCATTCAGCAAGCGTCCGGGATAATTAAAAAAACTCAGAGTAAACGCTCCCGGATATCCCTTGTATCGGGGAATACTATACTACAATATGTTATTAAATACCGTTCAAATGACATGTTAGAATAAGAATAAGAATAAGAATAAGAATATCTTTATTGCTCTCTAATGTTAATTACATAAATCAGTGTTGCCTTGACTACTTAACTAGGATTCCTGTTTTTAAGTAGCCAAGGACTTCCCTTACAAAGTTATACATTGGTGAGAAACAAAAGGAAAATTTACTATTATTTATTAATTTTAAGAAGTGAAATTAAAATATATTTCCTCTTATATATATATATATATATGAGTGTGTAAGGGTGTGAAAATGAAGGTGCAAGTTGTAAGTTGTATGTATATGAGCGTGTCTGTTTTTCTGTGTGTATGCATGTGAATGTGTGAATGTGTGTGTGTGTGTGTGTGTGTGTGTGTGTGTGTGTGTGTGTGTGTATCGTTTTATTAAACTTGGATGTGGATGAGATATTCACGCTTTTTAATAAGAATGGTACAGACAGAAATATATAAAACGATTTAAGCACAGACAACACAACAGAGTAATTAAATGTATGCTAAATTAATTCTTAAATCATAATTTATATACAAAATAGATTTATTAATAGGCATCAAAAGTATTTGAATATCGGCGTTGATTTATTACTTTGATGGCTTCCTTTATAAAACTATATATTAGATGGCTTATGAATTATAAATTGAACATTAACTTTGCTTAAACTAATATTAGATTAATAATCAAAAACATACCTACATAGTACAGTTTTTATCATTTTAATTTATGCATATTACAGACATTAAAACCACGTAATGGAGGAGATATAAATGCAAAATTAATTTGAAATAATTTTGCGAAACGGATGATAACTTTATGTTTTTAAATGAATAAATCTAACCTACCAGCATTTAGATATGTGTTTTTTAATTAAAAAAATATCAATTGAATAATTTAACTTACCGGCCACGTGAAGTCGAAGGGGAAAACGATGGGATTGCTGAATCCTTCAACATTTAGATTCGGCACGTCCAGGGAGTTGCCTCCCAACACTGGCGTAGTGATGTCCCCGAAGGTACACGGTGACGTGGTATCGATGTTAGCTTGGTATATCTTGAGGCACACTCGGAATTTAGTCCTGCACGGCGCCAAGCACGGCGCGTCACTATTGGATGAACCATCACAGCACTGTCCACTACTTAACCTACCTAATGAGTTCGTGAAACTTTTTATCCTAAGCTCAAATGAACCAGATGACAGCACCTGAAAAGAAAATTGACAGGTTAGTTTTTTTAAAAAGGCAAAGGTATACACACATTATGCCAGGAGATTAAAGTTCACAATAAAAAATGACAGAAGGTAGTTAAACATTTCTGATTCAATTAAGTGTTAGAATTAAAAAATTAAATCAATTGTAAGCCGATTTATCACTAAACGAGTCGACTTAAAATTGCTAATATAACTTTCAACGTGAAAGATTTGAAAACAATATTATTTGCACAACTGGCCATGCCGTCGTAACGGTTTCGTGCGACGTATAAAAATATGTTGCGATGAATGTGGGGTAGTAGACCACGTGGGGTAATATCACCCCTAGCCAGAATTGAGTTTCAAACGGACCAGTGCTCGGCATTAGGGTGAAAATGCATTATCGGTTAATACACGATGACGTTTTACTGTACGGGTGTGTGACACTAAATTAACAATTATTATTACTACCCACATTTTAAACAATTCTTAAATATTACAAAGTTATAGGTATATTTTGTATTACGGAGATTTTAATGGTAACATTCTTGCTATATTTTTTAAAAATTTTACTGGCCGAAAACCCCCAGCGTAGTTTTAAACGATTTTGACGTTGGCACAGATAAAAAAGCAATATAACGTTGAAAGATAAGTAGATGACAACACAGTAGCTTAATGCCGGTTATTTTTTTGTATTATATGAATAATAATAGCCTACTGTCGCCCTTTAGGGTAGTACAGCCCTTTAATACGGAATGCGCAGTTGGTCGCGTTGCATGTGGGATGGAATAGTTTTAAATATATTTAATATATGCCCATACAGTGTTGATGGATAACTTTTTTATCCGCTTCATGCGAATGTACGGTATCGGAAGGAAGTTGTGGGCACCGAGTAGACATTACCGGTTGTTCAAAACACGTGAGGCCGCTGTCGTTAAGTAAGAGTAAAAAATATATTGTTTCCTGCGAACTTTCTATACAAATGATTGTTTATGCAGTTACATTTGTGTTTATTAAAAATTGCTCATGTCCGCAGTTTATGTGTTGAATCTGTCTTGCAAAATTTTTTTGTAAAGGTTTTCATCATAAAGATCTTATTGCAAGTTTTATGTTAACAAAGGAAAGTCAAAATTTCCCATACACAACAATAAGGACGCAAAGTTTCCCAAACCAGCGCAAACAAAAGAAAAATATAATGAACAATGATCCATTCAAAATGTCTTATCTAGTAAACAGACGGTAGGTCTGTAGATCCCTAATATATAACCACCGTTTAAACAAAGACCCGCCTGAGAAAGACACCAGATTTCGGGCTCGACTTCCTGCCGGGTGACAGGGGGTCAGGATCCGTGGATTTCACATCTGAAAACGCAAAACATCCCCTCTCTCCTTCTAATGACGTTGTACAGAACAGGACGAAGTATTTTCACACATCCACGTGGTTCGACGCCAGGTAGGAGCGGAAACAAAAAAATGCCTCCAAAAAACATAGCAACACTCTAAACATCCCCTTTTTTTCGTACAAGTTGATGGATTGTTTATAATAGCACGGTAGTAGCTCGGAATTTGATAAACTGTGGTTAATCCCATTACAATTAAAATGTTAACGTTTCAAATTTAAATTTGGAAGTCTTTCTGATTCTGTCAACGAGATTGCTTGTAAAAAAAGTTAAATAAAAAATATAAAAAAGGCAAAGGCCGTACGTGGTGGAGCGCCGCGCCTCAGGCCAACCACAAATTAACAATTAAATAATACTTACGAACTACCGGATAAGATATATTATAGTGTCTTCAGGCATTTCAACGCGATGACTGTCTGATTGACGTTTAAGAATATCTTTTTAAAAGGTCATAATCTTTGTTTATGGCTTTTATAGGTTGCCTATAATTATGAATAAAACACATGGAATAGAGCGTTGTTTGTTATAACGTATGTTTAAAAATGCCACATTCTCTATATTCACGTTATCACAACTCTTATGAGAATTGATTGAATCTTGTACCAAGTTTATAAACACTCATGGAGTTAGATTGTCAGCCATTTATAACATGGAAAATTGAATCTTTGGTTCTTTAACGAACATGTTTTTTTTATTAATTGTTGTGATTAATCTCGCTGTGTTTTAACAAATGAAAACTAAGTCTAGTATGAAATTTATTAAAAACACTATCTTAAGTAATAAATATAATCGATATTAAGCAAACTTAAATAATTTATGGTTAGAAAAAATATAAAGTTACGAGGCAATAATGGTGAACTATAAGAGAATATATCCTACATTACTTCTGCGTAATGTAGTTTCTCTGTGTTGAAAGAATTATTGTAATCGATTCAGTACAAAAGCTCAGCTATTAGAAACAAATACTTCATCTGAATAACATTAGTACAGATTGCATAAGGTAAATTTTAACCTCGATGCGCAAGAGTAGCATTATAAATGGATAGAATATGTTAATTGTTATGTTTATAAATAACTATTATTGTACTAAAATACGTAAAGCCAGCGCTCTACAATCTCCAGATGAACGGTCTTAATTGATTTCGAGTACCTAATCGACGTTCTCGTAAGACCGTCTCTGACATATCGTTTTACATCAATTTCTATGGTTATAATTGCCGCGCAATATGCCCACGATCTCGCGCACCGATATTTTATACAAAATTGCCGTGTCAAAATGATTTATCTTAAAAAACACGGAATGTTATTGCCCTTACTGAATTCACCTTTCGACTTGAGATTGTGCTTGTATTTAAGACAAGGCAAAGAACAACTAACGATACAGCCACTTGATTTGACATTTGGAATAAAGATTAAAAACATCACAGATTAAAATTTTATAAATTATAAACGTGCAGATATTGCAATCCATTCTCTGTTTTTTTTAATAACCATAGACAAAATGAATGATACCCAGTTATGGAGTATATAAAGAGCCATTGTACAAGTGAGGCAACAGAGTAAACACTCGTTCGAGTCAGGTTAAGCGCAGTCTAAAAATAGCTGAAATAATGAAACACAGGGGAATGTTTTTCATCTCGGCTGGTTATACACACGCGAAATGTGTTAAAATAAACATCGAAACGCAGGTCTTATAATAGCGCGACGATGTGGCCACTGCACAAAATTCGCAATTGGAAATTTAATTTTGGAACGTCTCGATATGGTCTCTTTTTATACGTTGTTTTTTTTTTAACCGCCATTCATACACATGTTGTGAAAACATACAGTTTAAAATTAGATATTGATATGATGACGTTTTATTACGAACACTGCTTAAGAAAAGTCCTGAATCACGTTGAATTAAACTTAACCTTCGTTGATCTTTAAAGCACAATAATTTATTTGAGCAAAAAGTATGCCATTGATAAATCAGCTGTAATTGATTGCCTTTGACTTTTGACAGTAAAAAAAAATCACATTAAAAGTAAACGTAGGGATGTTTGCAACAATGAAGGTACAGTTTCAAAGAACTTTCCGCTTTATAAAGGGACACACGTCTTGAAGCGAACAAAACGATTTCGAAGATCGACTTTCGCGTTACTTTTGTCGCACTCTTTGTCCGTTCCGTTAATTCCTTGCAGCTGGCATTGCAAAGAACGCAGGATTCCAAACTTTTTTTAAAGACTAACAAAGAAAACGTTACCTTATGTTAAATTATACCGGGAGAGCTATACAAATTGCAAATACTTTTTAAAATGGTCCAAGATTTTGATGCTAATTGCACAGCATGGATTTACACTATCAATTTAAAACAAAACGGGAATCGTGTCGTAATTGGCGACGTAGGACGCTGGGAACGTATAAGGAAAGCGTATAATAAGGTATTTTGCGGTTGTTTACAGGTTGCGCAAGCGGTTTGGGATCTTGAGCGTTGGTGTTCGGCAACTTACCATGGTATGGGAAATCTTGCACTTTGCTGTTACGCCATACCTTTACTTTACGATAAACGTAAATTTTAATTCAAATTAAAACAATTGCAAGTTCTAATAAGTTAAAGGAATACAAAAAAAAAATTACGCAAGCAAAAACAATATTACGGAATGTCATTACATCACAAATAAGATGGGTGATTTTTTTTTAAAATAACAACATTAGGGATATGTAATATTGGGAAACGATTTCAATAGAACTGGCAATCATGCTCGGCTATATATTCCGATGTTACGGCACACTAAATCTGAATGCACTGTATTACCATTAGGTTGAAAATCGCTTGAACGCTTCCATAAATTTATTCGCAATATCAATTGATGTGCGATAGGTTATTTTAGCAAATTGATCATTAACAAACCTACTCGATTGAGTAATACAATAGCGTTGCAGATGGTTTTAATTATTTTTACTTGTCTAAATAACACCTACGCGTTACAATCAGTCTTCATAGTAAAGGATTTACGCATTCATATCTGTCGACAGATGGCCTTAACTTACTACCCACAGATGCGAAACTCATCTTTATGCTTTGCCTAGCAATATTGTGCAATATTTATAGTCTTACTGGCACATACCTGATAGGGAATTTAATAATTTACCCACTAGCAATGAACGCACAGACTAAATAATGAAGAGAATACTTCAAAAACTTTACGTCACTAATTTTGTTATTGAAAATCTTTTAAATTATAAAACTAAATCAAAATGATGAAATTCAAGTAACGTACACAAAATTAATTGCGTTACTTTTTACGCACAAAACTTTAATTACTGTATTTCTTGATAATTGTCAAAAAGAATGCAAGCACAAGTCGATGTTTATGAATAATGCATTATTGACTTTCGTTTGTATCCTGTCGTATACGTAATCTGATCAATTATCCAGGCGGCCATTATACTTTGGCTTGTGGACAAAAAGCAAAGTAAAACCATTTGACGAAAAGACTAAGGGCCTGTCCCACCAAGTTGTAAATTGTTGACAACAATACAACGTGTAAAAGATGTAATGGAAGTGCCGTTATTTTTAAGCTATCTGAGATTCAGCCAGTGGTGGGACAGGCCCTAGCTTTTATGAGAACCCTTAGAGAGGGCACACCTTAAACAATCGCACAATTGTTGTGCGATTGTCGATTGTTTCGCAGCCGATTCAACTGTTTAGTTGCAACCAAAACTCAAGTAGTGTGCGCACCTTCATATAAGGTCATAGGAATCAAAGCAAGACTAAATTGTGCGATTATTTAGTTTCAGGTGAGTCTTTTCAATGGATCTCTTAATTGGATTGGTGTTAGAAATCGATTAGTCTTTAAAGTAACCAATGTACAAATTAGAATGAACGATTAAAGAAAATTGAGATCGTCTGCCATCACAAAGGCCGTCTATTAAACATAATGGATTCATCATTTGTCAATTAAGATGAAAGGCGTGAGACGAAGAGTCGGGGGCGACTCAT